AGTAGACTTCGACTGTAGACTTCCCAAATAGACTTCTAAAGTTGACTTCAAAAGCAGACTTCTTTGAGAACACTGGATGCTTTGTCTTCCTATTCCGGAGCCTTCTTGTTATTTCCCTGGCTGCGATTATCGACGGCTAAGTATATTAAATAAAAATTGCAACATTGTTAGATGAGTTTAGCTCAACTTACACAATTCGGTAGGGTATGACCAAGTTGCTTGCATTGGGAGCAGCTGTATACTTTGTGCAGCTTCTTTGGCTTCTTGCTTTTCCTCCTAGCAATTTCTAGCCATGATTGCCACCGAGACTTCTTCCGTCTGCCTGGTGCACGGCGAATGTCTGGTGGCAGACATATTGATGTTGGACCTCCTTGGACCTCTGAAATTTGGGGATATATGTTGGCAGAGTATGCTGCAAACAAGTAGTTTTTTGAGTAAGTCGGACATACAAGAGAATCCACAGCTATCCCACCGGTTAATGCAGCTGCAATAGCATGTGAACATGGGATCTTCTCGATGTAAAACACACCACATTCACACATTCCATGTTCCAAATCAACAATACAATTCCTGGTTCCTCCTTTCACATAGTATCTCCAAGTGTCAATTCGGTCCACCTCCATTGCATCTGCATAATGTCCACGAATCGCCAGCAAATACTCCACTCCCCGAGTATTATGTGTTGTGAGACTCAAAGCATCCTCTCTGCGTTTTGAAAACCACCGACCAAGCTTCTCTCGTATGAAATCCAAGAGGAATGAAATGGGATATCCTCGGGCCTTCTTAAGTGCAGCATTTATAGACTCTGCGACATTGCTAGTCTTAATATTGTATCTGTCTCCAACAAAATGAACTCGGGACCAAAGAGAGACATCGGCTTCTTCCAAATAGTCAGCAAGGTCAGGCTTGATCTGTCTCAGCTCCGCCATGTACCGGTTGTAGTCATAGAGGTTGTAAGCATAAGCCACACGTTTAGTACAACAGCTGCTTCTCCTTAAACTTTGTTACTATGTTATGTTGTAGATGGTAGTAGCAGATCCCTCGTTTTGCCCATGGGAAAATAGTTGAACAAGCTTTCTTAATAGAATTATGTCGGTCAGAAACTATCACCAAAGGATAACCATCTGAGACACATTCACGCAGTTTAGAAAAAAACCATTCCCATGAAGCATCATCTTCACCATCAACAATTCCAAAGGCCAAAGGAAAAATCTGAAAGTTTCCATCTTGTGCGGTGGCAACCAACAAAGTACCCTCGTATTTCCCTGTTAGATGACAGCCATCGACCACAATAACTCTTCTCATGTACTGAAAACCAGCAATCGATGCTCCAAATGCGAGAAATAGATATTTGAATTTGTTATTTGAATCTACATGAAGAGCTGATACAGTTCCCGGATTGGCTTTGTTCACTGAATGTAGGTAAGCTGGGAGACTCGCATATCCATCTTCAGCTGTTCCTCTGACCAATTGTTGGGCATATATCAAAGATCTATAAGAGGTAGTGTAATCAATCCTGATGCCAAACATATGCTTCATTGAAACCCTGACATGTACTGGTGTAAGTCCATCAATTATGCCGAAATAGCTTATAAACAGCTGGCCAATATACTTAGGAGTAGACTTCCCACGGTGAGCCATTCGATGGGCTATTGAACATGTGTGGTGTTTCACATATTTTGTCACCCAAAAAGTGGATGCATCATTCTTCACGCTCGCTCTAACCATCCATGCACATCCTTCCACTCGACATTTAGCCACAAACAGGTTCTTCGTAGACTTCTGTGATTAAAAAGCAAATTTTAACATTATGGCTGTCAGTCTAACCTCTGATAACAGCTTCTCTTTTGTAGGGAAACTTGCCCCAACATATATATTATCAGACCATGACATTGGCGTGCTCCCTGTTTCACCATTTCGGGTTCTGACCTTTTCAATACAGACTTCATCTTCATCTTCATCATCATCTTCATCTTTCACTTTTCCGTAGACACTGTAATCTTCTCCGTCAGAGTAAGCTGCATCGTCGACATCTTCTCCATCGTCGTTCACATCAGAACTGTCTGCCTCATCATCGGTTGACTCTTCTGAATTTTCCTCAACATCTTCACCAAACTCTTCATCTGATCGTTCCTAGTTCTCCTCAGTATCCATCTCCACTCGACAGGACACACAAAGGCGTAACAAATGTACTATGCTTAACGCAATCAAGCTTGAAACTTGTCTATCATTGGTGACATGCATTGGAGGTGTATCTGGAGCCATATTTTGCAACATTGAGACTGGTAGTGCGTAGGTTAACTCGATGATCTCAGTCCTCTTGCCCAAGATATAATCATCTCGCGCCATTTCAGTAAGCTGCCCAAATGTGCAACCATCGTTCAAAAACCACATTCTTCCACCTTTGCCAATGTCAACAACAAAATGCCATGAATTCTCCTCCAACTTCCACTCACCGTACACAACTGGAATTTGAGCCATTCTCTGAAAAATAACCATATAAACGGTATTAGCAAACACTCATAGAGACTTTTTGTATCAAAGTAGACTTCACGTTGAAGTCTACTTTGATAAGCTGAGTACCTTAAAAATCGCAAATTCTGATTCAACAAGAAATATTCAATGAAACGGAATAAAAAGCCCTAGGTAGTTCAATCACTAATTAATAAACAATTGTAAACAAAAAAAATTTCAAATTTTTTTATAGATTTGCTTAAATGGCGTTTTTACAAAAACGTCTAAACGTAGACTTCTAGTGCAGACTTAGAACGTAGACTTCAATACGAAGTCTACTTTGATAAGCTAAGTACCTAAATAATCAAAACTTGTGATTCCACAATAAATATCCAATGAAATGAAATAAAATTCAATGGGTAGTTCAATCACTTACTAAGAAGCAGTTATGAACCAAAAAATTTGAAAAATAGTTTATACATTTGCTTAAAACGCGTTTTTAAAAAAACATAGGAAAATAGACTTCTATAGTAGACTTCGAATGTAGACTGGATAAGAAGTCTACTATTTCATTGAGAAGTCTACTACTGAAGTCTACTAAAAAAAAGGTTATTTTTGCAATTGACCATTCCGTTGACTTTTCCTTCAGTAGACTTCAGTTGTAGACTTCAGGCAAAAAAGGTTACTTTTGCAATTGATCACCGCGTTGACTAACACAGTAGACTTCTATTGTAGACTTCATGTAAGAGTAGACTTCTCTGGCAGTCTACGTTTGAAGTCTACTTTATAAATAGAAGTCTACGGAACAAAAAAAGTTATTTTTGCAATTGAATTTTTTTAGTAGACTTCACAATGAAGTCTACTCAAAAAATATTCCTTCTAAGCTTGACCGAACACAATAAGTAGACTTCACATAGAAGTCTACTGTTTGTAGACTTCTTTATGAAGTCTACTCAAGCTTTTTGAAATTTTTTTAATTTTTTAATTTTTGAAAAACATAAGTCAAATACAAAAATGACCTATACATTTTTGGTCAAAATGCAAAAGTAACCTAAATGTAGACTTCGTGTGCACAGACGTAAACAGTAGACTTCGGTTAGATGTCTACATTAAAAAGTCAAAATACGGTCAACTACAAAAATAACCTCTTTTCTTTCGTAGACTTCTTAAGCCGTCAGATGAAGTCTACTATAATTTTTTTTGTTTTCAAAGGATATCGAGTAGACTTCTCGTGAGGTTTCAAGAAGTCTACTTTTTCAAAATCAATTGCAAAAATAACCTTATGTTGACTCATAGACTTCACTATAGTTCACGAGAAGTCTACTTTCGCGATATAAAAACTGAAATGTGGAGAAATTGAAGTGCGAGGATTACCTTTGACAAAATTGAGCTCCCCTAAGTTTCTCTTATCTACCCAGAACTTAGGATTTCAATGAAATTAAACAACCTAGGTGTCGAGTAAACCAGAATTCACCGCAAAATGATGGCGCGAAGCAATGCAACTATGCCCAGATGTTTTGGAGAAGAAATTATGAAGGAATGAGCAAGCTTATGAGTGAATGAGCTTAGATATTTGTTTTATTACAGCTTTAAAACAGGTTGATAAGCATTTATCCCATTTTCATGGTTGTTCATGGTGGTTGAAGGTATTGAAGACGATGGCATTCTCGTAATTAAAAAGTCTTTAGAAGGTCCAAGAAGACTTTAGTCAATTAAAGAAAAATCAATTTATTAGATGTATAATGGTATTTTCGTTAATAGTTTAAGTGGGAAGGATAAAATTGTGAGAAAATGGCAAAAGTTGGAGAGAGAAAAAAAAGAGATTAGTTTTGTGTTTGACTTTGAAATATGGGTTAAATCTGAAACTCTTCCATAGATTATTGATTGAATTTTCGACTTATAATTGTACATATATAAGATTAATATTTTATTTAAACTACGAAAATGACATTTAAATTAATAAAAAAAAATGACGTTTGGTACAAACTTGTGGTTTGTGGGGCTCGAAGAGTCGTGAGAACGTGTGTTGCGTTGTGCTGGATGCATATTCTTTGGGAGAGCCAATAAAAACAGATAAGCACAATGCGATGACCAATAGGACTGGTTGATGTAGTCTTTCTTTAATTTGGCTATTTGTATTGTAATTAAAGATAATGTTCATTGACTTGATCTTAAGAGAAGAGACAATAAATAACTTTGCTTAGTTGCTGACAGCTAGCTAATTCATGCCATTAATATTTAATATATGTCAATATAGTTGAGGAAAAACAAACATAAAAAAAAAAGATAAAATAATTTTGTTGTCCACTGGCATCTGTGAATATAATTTATTTCTAGTTGACTTAAATGTAACTTGATTCATTTTTAATGTTAGGAGACCTTTTTATTCTTAAGAAAAGACTCACCAAGTCTGCTTAGTTGTTTACAGCCTAAGCTGATCAACTTGCCAATATAATCCTATATGTACATCCGTTATATATATAGAGATAGATATGTAAGACCCAAAATAAAACCTTTTGCATTTTTCATACCTCTCCTATCCTGATTCAATCATTCCTAGCTACAACCTTCGCCATGGGAAGGATCTATAAGACGTTCTGGCACCACCATGAGAGCGACGAGTATACTAGGGAGCTCACTCCGATGGACATAGCGTTTATATTAAATGCTTCAAATGCTAACAAGTGCAATGATTGTCAAAATAACACTGATTATCGTCGCAATCCCTGGCGATGTGATTTATGCTACAAGGTGTGGCACCTTGAATGCATCCCAAGCTCTCCTGACGAAATAAACCACCCGTTCCACCCATACCATCCGCTCAAGCTTCTCATTGATGGCCCACCTGACTACTCTCATGGGAACTGTGGTACATGCAAGCAGGACCTCAAGAGATTTTTCTATCATTGCTCGATATGCGATTTCAGCATGCATGTGAGGTGCGCCAACGATCCCCCACCACCCTATGTGGATTCCCCGTGGTGCCACAAGCATACTCTCACCCTTATGGCTAGAAACGACACCTTCACTTGTAACGCTTGTGGTATGCATGGCGAACAATGCCCTTACGTATGCGCTCCTTGCGGTCTCATGTTCCATCGGGATTGTATCACGCTACCACACGTCATAAACATCAATCGCCACGACCATCGGGTATCTCACACATATTCTCTTGGTTTTGGGCTTTGGAAATGCACGATTTGTCACCAGAAGATCGACTGGAGGTATGGTGCTTATTCTTGTTCGAAATGTCCTGATTTTTTCTTCCACTCCAAATGCGCAACTAGAAAGGATGTGTGGGATGGAGTAGAACTCGAAGGGGTACCTGAAGAGTTTGTAGATGTTTCACCATTCAAAGTGATTGACGACGGAGTCATTAATCATTTCTCACATGATGAACATAACTTAAGGCTTATTGATGAGGATGCAATTGATCGTGATAAAAGCATACAATGCGAAGCTTGCACAGGTTCTATCTTTTCTGATAAGCACTATAGCTGTATGGAATGTGATTTTTTCATCCATGAAACATGCGCCAATCTTCCTCTTCAAAAAAGACACGGGCTTTGCACAAAGCCGCTTACTCTATTAACTATCAAAAAGGATACCGAAAATCGTTTATTTCAGTGCACCGCCTGCGAAAAAGTATCAAATGGTTTCAGGTATGAATGTGGTGATACTATCCTAGACGTACGGTGTGCGTCCATGTCATGGTATTGTGATTATGAATGTCACCCGCATACCCTCTTCCTCACTACGCTTGACAGGGAAACTTGTGGGGCATGTCTTGAAACTGATAAACAAGTGCTGCATTGCGTTGAATGTAAGTTCACCTTGGACTTCAAGTGTGCTACTCTACCAAAAAAGATAAAGCACAGGTGCGATGACCATTTTCTGTCGTTGTGTTTTGGTGAGAAGGAGAAGCCCAGGGGTAAGTACTGGTGTGAGGTTTGTGAAACCGTTTTAGATCCACAAAAATGGTTTTACTCATGCGGTGATTGCGGAGTCGTTTGTCATATTCGATGTGTGCTCGGTGATCTTTGGAATGCCAAGCCCGATTTACTCGGCAGTGGAGATGGAGGTATACTAAAACTGGTTCCCAACGATAGTATGTCGCGACCAAAATGTGGTTCATGCGGCTCTCGTTGCCAACAACCCCTGCTTTACATGGCTTCCGCCCCTGATATGAAGGAATTCTTTTGTGACTTTCAATGTGTTGAAAATTTCTATAGATCGACAAGATCGTGATGCATATTAAAGAGGCTGCGTGGCGGGTATCAGCAGACGTCACAGGCGGGCTAGCAACAAGTCGGGTTCAGCTACTAGCTGCGAGATTATTCTTAGTTCTGCACTGTTTGTTGTTTGCCTACTTTTTCATGAACGTATTCTGAAAAACGCTTTATTTGTCTCTGTCTTTCTCTTTAGGAGAGTTCTTTTGCTTAATACTGATAATGTACTTGAGTGTGAAGAGTTTGACTCTTAATAATGTTTTGCGATGCTTTCTGTTTTCTTTATCTCCTTTACAGAAATGGGATTACAAGATTTTCATGATTTGGAAAAGAACGCGAGGATTTTAATCATCGATTTTTTATAATGGCAAATGTGTTTATTATTTTATTTTTTTTTGTTAAAGGGTCTTCATATTGAAATTTTTTTGTTTTTTTTTTGGTTACATAATAGCAGGTTTTTTAAGAAAAACTAACAAATCCAGAAGGGAAAAAAAACAAATAAAACCTCAAACAGAAATTCTTATTGGGCCCGGTTAGAAGATTAAACCAGAGAATCAAAACCGCATAAAATCAGTTTAATTGGAAAAAACCAAAAATCATAATCTGAGAAGTAGCAGCCATGGAAACAGCCGCCAACATATCTTCGAAGAGTCTCTGATCTCCTACCACCAACCAGAGTAAAAGCTCGCTGACAAGCTGAACCATCCAGACATCAAGACTTTGATAACACACCTGAGGGATCCTGAAACGGAATTTAGAGAAAAACAAAGAAGCAGAATCCTACCCGCCGAAGCTTTCACGACCCACCACCTCCCCGAACAGCGAGCTTACTTAACAATCGACGACGACGTTTCCTGCACGGTTCTGCATCCTAAGTCGTCTCCTCCGACATTCCTTTCAAAACCCGACGCTAGTCCTCAGAGCGACGCTAGTCAACAATCTATGACGCTCCATGACACCACTCAGGATCGAAAACCTCCACCTCAAACATGGGCAGCATCGAGACAGAACCGAATGGAAGAGCCCCCGAGAGCCTCCGGCATAAGCCCTTGAAAAAGCATCACCAGATTTTGTCCTCGCTAGATCTGGATCTGCAAAGGGTCTCCGCCTTCGAACCACCGCCGAATCACTGTCGTTTTGCCAGAGAAACTAAGACACCACAAGTCTGCTCTGGAGAAAAACCTAACCACAAAGAAAAATGAAAAAAAAAAAAAAAAAAGAGAAGCCCTCTCGCGGCTCTGGCCAGACGCGCCAGAAACCGGAGAAGGAAACGGAGAATTTTCTTTGACGGCGCTAAGGCAACTTGCTTGGAAGAGAATGCTGCTCAAAGGCTTTTTCCTTTTGCAACATCCCCAAAATGTGTTTATTTTTGAATGTTAAAAACTTAAAATGGTACTCCTACACGGGAATCTGTACTTTACTGGCCAAGCTTCATTGAGATTATTTCCTTAATGAAGTTACTACAGTAAAATCTCTATAAATTAATATTGGATAAATTAATAATCACTATAAATTAATAAATTTTTCTGGTTCCAAGTCGGGTTATCAAATTCGATAAGATAATAAGATAATAATTTTTGAAACCCTTATGTAAATATATGGTCCCAACAAAAACATAAATTAATAATTATATAAATTTATGTAAATATATATAAATTTAATATTCTAAAATATGACTAATGTATTTGTTTTTAGTTAAAGTTGAAATTTCATTGGTTCTTATCTCTCTAATTATTATATCAGTAGCTCTTATTGCTGTTTTACTATATACATTCAAAGTTTATGATGATTTTTTGATGTGATAATTGATTTTTTTACATGTAAATTTTTTTTAATGTATAGTAATGTTATCTTCAATTTTATCATCAATAATACTGATAGTAGCCATAGTTGTTTTTATAAATTTTAAACTTATGAACATGTATATTTTTATATGGACAATCTAATATGGTGAAAAACTATTTTATTGTGATAGTTATAGTTTTTAATCATAATTTATATTATCAAATTTGTTAAAATTTTAAAATATAACATTATTCCAAATAAATTTTTAAAAAATTATATGCGAAAAACAATTTTTCTGTAGAATTAATATCATGATAAATTAATAAAATATCATATTCCCAACATTATTAATTTATAGAGGTTTTACTGTAGATTCTAAAGTGTGTAGGACATCATATATATTAAAAGCAAAGTAAATTTTGAGTTTTAAGCTCTCGCATTCATTCTTAAGGTGGCTAATTACCCTTTACCCTTCCTTTAAATATTTTTAAAATGGTTTTAAATTAAATTTACAAAAAATTATTGATTTTACTTCCGATTTATATTTGTTATTGGGTTGTTTAATGCTCTAAACTGGGCTGAAGCCTTTAGTTGTGTAGGCTTTCCAATTTTCCATCATTAACTTAGGGGTCGCTCGCCGTTTACCCTAGCTTTTTAACCGGTTATAAATATAACTTTGTTTACCTAACACTTAGAGCACCTCCAACCGTGGATCATGAGAGGTTCATAGGAGAGGTTCATCTAATTTTTGGGTTTTAAAAAAATCATTAAGTCCATTTTATTGATGATTCGCCTCTTAGGGAATGATTTTTAGAATCCAATTTTGAGGGGTTCATCATCGACGTGGCAACTATGTATTGGCCAAGTTTTTTTTTCCCTGCAACAATCTCTCTCTTCCCCGACACAATACAACCTCACCATTTCTCTCTTCTTCGAAATTTCAATCGACGACTTCTTCTTCATTTGATATTCCACCTGCAAAATCGGAGACATCGAAGACGAAATCGAGATCTCTACATCCTTCTGCTTCGTCAAAGTAAGTGAATAAATGGTGATGGATTGTGTGTTGTAGTTAATTTTGGGTGTGGTTTAGCAAAATTAGGGTTTTTCGGATTTGGGGAAATTTTTTGGGACAACTTTTTTTTATTTTATTTAGGGTTATTCCTGATAGTTGAAGTGTGAATCCGTATAATACTCTTAAATGATTTATTCTTTGTTATATAAATTCATCCTGATTTTGGGATTTATCAAATCTGTTATCAAGTTTTCTGTGAACCCTATAAAAGAATCACCATTGGAGAAGAGAATTTGATGGAGTTCTAAATTTTTCAAACCTCAAAATTATATTAATAAACAATTGGTGATGAATCTTATGAGAGTATCACTATTGAGGTTGCTCTTACGTTATTGTTGTTAGCGTTTCTCTGGTTATTTTTGTATTTTCTATGTTTTTTGGTCGTGCCTCTTTGTGTTCGTTCTTTCTAATTGCTAAATTATTTCCTGGTTTAGAATTCATGCGTGTAGATATCTCTGATTTAGGAAAGAACATTGTTGTCATCGTTCCGCTCTGCGAGTTAGTTGTGGTTTTCTTTTTTCGTTTTTTTTTTTTTGTTTCTCAGATTTGTGACTCATCTTTGTTGCGAATAGTTTCTGATCTTTATTGATCTTCGAAGAATTCCCCTCAAGGATGACTCTTTTTTTTTGGGATGATGTTTCGTTTTGGACGTTCATATACTATATCAGTCTATATTTCATAAATTGGGATTTAGCTTATTTGTTGTTGTTGTTGGGTTAGGTTATACGGTTACGTATGTATCGCGTTTATGGTTTTTTTTTTGCTACGTTCTGATATCCTCGGTTTGTCAATTGTTTTATAGCCTTTTTCATTTGTATTGATCTATTGATTTTCTGTTTTGTTGGTTCTGAGTGGTTTAAAAATAGATCTATTGATTTATTTTCATTCTTTTGGGTTTGCTTTTTTTTTTTTTTGGCTTTTCACAAAAAAAACGATCGATATAATATGCCCTTTTATTTCTTATTTTTTTGGTCTTTTACCGTGTTTGTTGTTTTTTTTTTCTATGTAGACATGTAGGTGCTGCTTCTTTGTGTTCGATTGCCTGAGTAGCTGGTTAGTTCTTTTTGCCAAGATGCTGAAAGGTAGAGTTTAGGGTTTTGTATTTGAATTTGTTCTTGGTTTGTTTTTGACAAGGAATTTGTTCTTGGTTTTGTGATTGTCTTTGTTTCTTTACTAATGGATTGTGTTTGTGTTACGCCTGTGTTTTCTATATGATCGGGGTTTGTTTAGGCGTGTTTTTTTATATTCTTCCCCTACGAGTCGTTGTTGGCTTATTGGTTTTTGATTGCTTTGTTTTTTTGGCTGTTTTTGAAATTTTTTCTTTACTTGTTCGCATTTTGCTCTTCCATCTAACAGGTTTAGATGCAGTTTAGGTTTATGTTTCCTTTCTGCTCTGTCGAGGTATACTTTCGTGGGAATCACGTCTGCGAGTTTGTATGTTTTTTGTTTTGCTTTGTTCTGCTTTACTCTCTTTAGTCTCTATGAAATCGGTTTTATTAAGTTACCTTCCTCTTCGGATGCAGAAAACCGTGGTCTTATCGAGCGCACATGTTCAAAACCTGCACTTACGGTCATACTCTTATGCTCAATCTGAAAAACACAGAGAGATGTAACACTGAGAAAGGAACTCACTGAGAAAGAAACTCCTTCTCACAGAAATAACTCATATGCAACACTTCAATACAGAGTCTATGATTTTGTTTTCTGAAAGACAGTAATTTCATGTGTAATAGGTTGTTGATGAATTTAACATACTATGATCTCCTTCGTGGGAATCAGCGTTCATCCCAAGTTTGCAATTACTGATTGAGTAAGTTAATGGCAGAGATGATAGGTCAGCATCTCCGATCAAAAGCTTGGCCAGAACGACATCTCGGCTTCCTTTTGGTTTGGTTAACATCTCCGGTTTTGACCATATGAATCGGCTTGGTTCCTGCAAAATTTTGACAGCCCATTCTGTCAATTATCTCCAAAAAAAAACAACTATTGTGATTACAAGAGTGAGGTCCTTTTGACCTGATTTTAAGAATAATAAACTAAATGACTATTTGATTAACAGCTGTTTATAATAATATTGTATTTTACGATATTTGTTAATTTCCCTCATTTTAATAATTTTGGTCCTACCAGAAGTGTGGAATTGGCGAATTTCTTCAGAATTTTACTACAAATTTACACATTCGTAACTCGTAAGTGATGTTATTTGTTACTGTTGACAAAAAAAATCTATATTTGAAACTTACATCTTCTGTGCAAGTAGCTTCCAAACTCTTAATTAAGTTTTCTAATCGAGATGATCAAACCCTTAATTGCTGTTGCTGCTGCTGTCATTATTTAAAAAAAAAAGATTACTTTAAAACAAAAAGGAAAAAGGAAAAAGAAAAAACGTCTTGGATGCTGAAGCCAATTAACTGCAGGCTGCATCGGTGGC